ACCTTTGCCTCTTACACAAACGCTTCCAGGCAGACTGCTAGTCTGCTGGGTCTTCCAGATTCAGGCCTTGGCTCAGCCTTGTTTTATGGGAACAGTGAGTTCCCTCCCCAAGGGGAAAGGAGAGGCACTGGTGTCTTCTTACTTCTTACTATGTCAGGGTGAAAACAAAGTAGCTATTGCAAACCTCTAAAACTTTTGTCAACTTTCTTTCTTCAAATATATTGGAGTGGGCAATGCAAACAGCTACTTCAATGAGCAGATGAGAAGCACTACTTAAGAGTTAGGCATTATTTCAATGATCTGCTCCTAGGGAAAAATCCTAAGACACCAGTGAAAAATCAAAAATAAGTGACATGCCAAATTACTGATGCCAAAGAGCACTGAAATATTATTTCAGATTTTCAGATCAAATCTTAGTGCCAGAGTTAATATTTGGGAACATCCTTACTGTTAGGAAATTCATATCTGCCCTGAACCTCGATGCTGCAAAGCCTCTATTTTTATGTATGATAGTCCTCTATTTAAAAGAAAAATCAGGAAAAAAGCCTAAAAATTATGACCTTTTAAAAATGTTGAACATTCATCAGAGCTGAACTATATGTCTTGACACTTCCTGACCATACACTGCTTTAATCAGGACCCCTCAACCCTATGAACCATGACTGGCACAACTATTAGCTAAACCGCTTAAATCAGTCTAAGCCTTTAGAGCAGTTTAAGATAACTAAGCTACTTAAAACTCATTAGCACTAAGAGTTAAGCAACATCAACAGGGTATCAGAGATCCTGTATTACAGCCACTCTAGCACTGCAATTTTCTCAAACACGCACACTTCCAGCTTCGTGAATCCATTGCAAGTTTTTGTAAGTTGAGTGCAGCTGAAGATCTGCCCTGTGATCTTGCCTCAATGAACAATCCTGATGTAGTCCGCAACACAAGTCAAATTTGAAGCTGCTAGGATTATCCATCTTTTAATATTTATCCCAAGAGCAAACTTGACCAGAAAATATGGAAAACTGTCTTGCTGGGTTTCTTCATGTACTTAGAAAAAGTTAGATATATATTATTTCTTGACATCGCTTGTGTCTGCATGTTTCATAATTTTTTACGTATGTGTGTTGCGGAGAGAATTAAAGAGCATGTACGATGGTGTGAGACTTGTGAGATGGCTTGAGGTTGATATGACTGCATTACTCATGAGTGGCAAAGCCTCAGTCAGGTATGTAGTTCATTCCTAGGACTCAGTGTTCTACATTTTAGAGGAAAAACTCTTAAATATTTTTAAATAAGAAGTGAAGTATTTTTCAAGAATCTTATTCTAGTATTTCTTCAGCAGTAACCCCATCTTCCCTTACAGAACAAATTAACTGAGCAGCACAGGCAAAGTCACCGTTGCTGCTTGGAGAGGAGAGGCAGGTGTCAGGGCAGAAGGAGGGAAGGAAGAAACAGGAGAACAGGGGCCAAATCTGCTGAGACCCTGCCCTCATGCACTGGGGCCTACAGCAGCTGCCAGGGAAGGACTGTGGCCCCTTCTACAACAGCAACAGCTCCAACAGTAGCCAAAGTTTTTGTACTGGCCAAGCGGGCACTGTGGCAATCATCACTTTGCAGCGCGTAGCAGTCTGCTGCCCCAGGCAGACCTGCATTGTCTGTGCTTGCAGTAGACCTGTCTCCAGCTGCTCCGAACTTCTGACAGTATCACAGACCTGCTCCTACAGCTTCTGTCAGAAGAGGAAAAATGTAAATAAAACAGTATATGCACCTCAAAAAGAACACTGTTCCCTTTCTTTCTGACACCTAGTTATTGTGATGAAAGGTCTAGTATCTTGCTGTAACCCTTGCTTTTAGCCACATATGTGCTCTTTATTCACAGTGTAGCAATACTTTCATTAACATAAGCCAGAGGGAGAGGGGATAAGAGGAAGGAGCCTGACATAAAGAAAATGGCAATACTCTAAAGCTTCTTAAGGAGGAGTCGTAAGTCCCAGAGGAGACAGTTTAATGAGCAGAGTCCGGAGGTGGATGTAGCTCTCCAGTCGGTCACCTTGACATCAAAATTTCTCAACTGTTTCCCTATACTCTCCGCACCATTCTCATGACATAAAGGGGGGCTGAATACAGTTGCAAGGATAGTCCTGGCTTCTGAATGGCTGCAATGTTAATGGTGGTGTGTGAATTACATTCCACAGTGCTTCCAAAGTATTAAAAGAAAACTAAACAATGGCGACGTCAGAATTTCACCTTAGTCCTCACAAGGTTTATCAGCTGGAACATCAGCTCCTCCTCAGCCTTTCCCCACCTGAGATAACAGAGAAACTACTCATGGTGGAAAAGTCATATCTGTAGACTTACCCTAAGAAGAACCCCCAAGTACCTAGTTTGCCAGGGAATTTCAAAATTATGTGCTGAACATGAACAACAGACCCAGACCTAAGTTCTGGATCTGGAGAGGAAAATCCTCTGCCTGTGGCCAACCCTGTCCTCTCTGGTGCCTGTGCTCTTTGCCTGGGGCCAGGCAGGTGCTGCCACTGCTGTGACACTTCAGACTATGCTGTTTGCCATGTGAAAGGCTGGCACGTTTTTACAGAATTTAGTTTCCAAACTCTAGGTCCCTTCTAACCAGGCACAGCCCGAGTGCTTCAGTCCTACGCTTTTTTCAGATTTCAAGAAATACCACAGTAATGACGAAGGCACTTCTAAAAAGCAGGGCAGCTTTGTATTGACCTCCAAACAAGGTGAAGGAGTGAACGCACCGGAGCTTTTCAATTGACAGTAAGATTTCTAATGTGGGCAGATGTACACATTTTGCATCATCTTGTTCTCAGAAATGTGTGATATTTAAGTTGTTTTGTTTTAAATTAAGCAAAAGAGGCCTGAGATAGACATCTGGCATGGAAAATTTCAGCCTGAATGATAGGGTTTAGCGAAGTTGCAAACAACTTTGGGAAAAAAAAGTAAAAAAAAAAAAGTAAAGAGTCTCATAAGGGAAATGATTGTGCAACCTTAACTGTGGGTGAAGGTAGCTACTGCTGCCTAGGATGAGTACATTTGAGAGACTACCTTCTCATATAAAAGCTGCAGAGCAGTAATAGGGCGTTGTTTGGCACTGCATTCTTGAATAGCTTTAGCAAACACAGAAGACCAAAGACTAGGAAAAACAAGGTAGATGATAAAAAGCAAAACAAAACAAAGGCCTACAGTAAGTTCAGAGAACACTTGTATTTTCCATACAAACTGTATGACTGGACGTTAAAATTTCTGGAGCAGGGCAGGGCTATGTTTCTGGTTTTAGTGCAGAATGGTAATAAAAATGGAGTGACTGAGTTTCTAGGTCATAACGTAAGCTGTCATATATTCCTCTTTCTGCCTTTCAAAGTGTCTCCAGTTTCACTGAAGATTTACTGAACTCCTTTTAACTCTCTGGGCACGCTCTTCATCTGCGTTAAGTGCAATACCACTCAGAAGAGATCAGGATCTAGTCTTACCATCCTCTTCACTGATAGTTTACAAATAAAATCTGGAGTTTAAGTCACTTGATATGCACAGTCTCTCACTCTCCATCCAAGTTGCTATAACTGGATAATTAAACAGGACTGGAGATTAAAATGTACTTGAATTAAGTGGTTTGGACTCTTTGCTACAGTTTTGTCATTAAATGACTCATCTACCATTGAACAAGGCCTGCAATTATTATAATGCTTTTCTTTTCCCTAGGACATAGAAAAGATGGATAATTGGTCATCCCAGACATGAGTGCTGCCTTTAAAATATTTAAAATTATATAATCATCTCTGTTGTTTGTGTGCAGTAGGGTTTGGATTTTTCTTTATTTTTTCCAGTAGCTATACATATGTGATGGTTCTTTGTATTTCTGTTTTTTGTCTCTCTCTCTCAAAAAGGCATGGACTCCTCTTCAAGCTTCTTGTTCTAATAGAAATCCTGACATGTTACAATGAACTAAATAATATTGTATCTTCTCACAAAGAAAACAAACATTTATGTGTCTCCTTAGAGCACATCCACTTCTGGAAGTGAGATGCTAATCAAGCCTTGAACTTGCTAATCTTACTTCAGCAAAACTTCTGTTCAACCTGCCTAGCTAGATTTACAGCCAAGTTGTTTCACAGGAGCCACAAATGAAGTGAAGGTCTGTGTCAAGTCAGGAGGCAAAATTGCTGACTTTATTGTGGGCTGTGCTCCTGTGAGCTGGGATGGCTGGTTGCTGGCCCAACCCTGGAGACTGTGTATCAAAACAATACAAAGTCCACTGTGGATCACAAAAGGTGGGATTCAGGAAAGAGCAGGTCTCAGGTTGCATTGCCATCAAGACTAACCTTCTAGATATCTGAAGAGGGGTGGAAAAAATCCTCTTTGCTCTGTGCCTGCCCAGGGAAAGATTCATTTCTTGTGCAATGTTTTTCTGTACCTGAGTGTTGGTCTGAAAGACCTTCCACATAGAGTAGAGAAGCAACAGCACAGGAAAGAAGGTGCTGTACGAGGATTTTGCTTGCATGGTATGTGTGTCCCCAGCAATAAGCTGCAGTGACTATAACAGGACAGTGGTGCCACCTTGAAGAGGCATGGACTGTGAAGGCCACACAGCTCTTGGGGAACTCTGCATGTGTGGTGGATACTGATGGAAGCTTGGCTTGTGAACTCCTAAATCAAAGCTACATAAGCTGCAATTCAGTAGACCACTTCACCCATGCTTAGATCTGATGCCGTCCTAGAACACTGTAAAGGGAAAGCTTTTTCAGTCAGATTGTATTTTCTTTCCTCAAGGATTGTGAGGGATGTGCACTTAACTTTAGTGGCCTCTGAGGACTTCTGCAACGATGCAAAGTAACTGGAGGGTACAGTTCTCCCTGGTATTTCATTGCTTCCATGCCCTGGTTTTCTTTAGGAAACCTGGGGCACCTAGGATGCTTGTAAAAGACACTCAGAGCCACCAGTGCACTGGCTCCATTTGCCCTGGGACTAGTTCATCTCTTGGGCGTACCTGCTGCATCACTAGCACAGCTGCCATCAGCAAGCTGCGAGGCATCACTGCATATGCTCCAGCATTCATTGTCGTCCTCTGTCCAGCATTCAGCACAGCCCATCTGCATGTCGGGTAATCTAAGATTGCCCCCAGCTTTTTAACCATCCTCGCCAGGACTCTCCTTTCTGCACTGCTGCCCAGTTTGCCCATGGCTCTTGAAAACACACCACTTCTTTATTCTTTGTGAAAATAAGCAAACTTTTGAACTTTGGTATGTTAATCCTAAAAGACAAAAGAATATACAGGACCAGCCACCTGAAAAAATGTAAGCCACAGCCTGCCACAGAGATCAGTAAGAGTTTAGGTGCCTGTATTCCTTCTTGGACTTGGCCATTTGCCTGACAGCGCTTACCATCAGACTTAGTTTTTCACCAACTGTTTCCTGCAGCTCACAGTGAAAGCAAACTCCCACAGACTTCCACAAGGGTTCTGCCAGCGTAAGGCCATCCTTTTTCAGAGCAATCCTCCAGCAATGGTGAGAAGAGATTTGGTAGAAAGCCTGGGCTGGGGAATTTCTTCCTTGAATAATTAGATAATCTGCAATAGCATTCTTAGTGGTGTTATTAAAATGCCATGACTCAGATATAGCTGTGAGAATGATTTATTTTTCTGTTAGTAGAGTTGATTTGTGTGCATGGGATTTTCTCTTTGCAGGGTCAGAACAATTCAGAGTCCTTATCTTCACCACTTGCCTCTAGCCAGGTTCACTTTTTGCTCTCCACAGCAGTGGAAAAGTTTTAAATTGACACATAACATACTGAAACAGAGAAGGGAAGCATATGGGATTTTCTTTCTTTTCAGAATCTTAGCTAAACTACAGTGAAGTTTTGACCTTGTATTTAGGATAGTTCTGTAAACAAATGGGTGGACAGATGCATGATCTTAGCAAACAGCTGCTTTAAATGTATTTTGGGCCTAAATGTGACATTGTGGGGTGGTGACTAGCTTGTCAAAAACTGGATTACCTGAATCAGCACTCATTTGCAAATTCAGAAGCTGAGACCTGATCCTTAAGGGCTCTCTTTTGCTGGCGAGCACACAATTTATTTTTTTAAACTGACACAAATTTTCCTGTATCAAATAATGCATTTTATCTCAGACGACGTATTAGGTCAATGGTTTGGGCTGATGAGAGATTAAAATAGTAACATGTTCTAAGTAAAATAATGCAGACCTGAAAAAGCTTGGTATGGAGGAAAAAACAACCAGCCAAAACCCAACCACACCTAGAAAAAAGATCACCCTAGCTCTAACAGCTTAAATCCTTTTTTTCCATAGGAAAAATTGTGAATCTTCTCTGTCCCACTGGCAGAGAAAAAAGAAGGTGATTCTGACCGATTTGCAGTATTCTGGCCGACCACAGGAGAACATAATTTGAACCTTTCACAATTCAAATGCCAGAAAAGCGTGGCAATGCCATTAAGCCTTATGAATGAGGAGCCAGTGAGATTTCAAGGAGTATGGGATGGGTGTTTCCTTCTCTTCCTCTACCAGTTTCATGCCATTTCTCTGCCTTCTTAAGATCAAGCTGCCCTGTCCATTAGTGAGACTGCTGCCCTTCCTAGTCTTCTGCAATCACCTGCTGTGACAAGCATATAGCCACTCGCTGCACCACCTTGTGTGTTATTATAGTCAATAGTGGTTAACCCAGCGGTGACATTTCTGGACCAGCTCCATTTGATACTGCTGATACCGCTTCCCAGCCTGAACAATTGGAACTGTGTACACACTCAGTGCCAGCCATTTGAGTGTACCCTCTCTAGCCAAAACTCACAGAAACCTGATAGAAGTGCTGAAGTCCCCACTGCTACCTGCACAGCCACCTGTGCAACACCAGACAGAATTGGGGCGAAGAGGCGTCATCTTGCAAACACTCGGACTCCTTCACCCTCCCCTTTGGCCCTTCCCCAAACCCACCCACCCACCACTGAAGGTCCATTTCCCCACAGTCACTCCCCCAGTCACTCTTCATCAGCTTGGTATACCTTCAAGGAGATCTCAGTTGCTTCTGGTCAACCTGTGCTGGGTCAGTGCTTGTGCACCCCCCTGTGAGAACCCCCGGGGCACTCCCCACAACCAAGCAGGACTCAAGACCTTGCCCCTACCCTGGCATTCAGTCTCTTCTGCTCCTTCAGCAAGACCAAGGTTTGTACATACAAAACTATGGCAAAGGCATCAGCTACAAGACTTTGTCCTGTCATTTCATACAAGTAAGAGCTTCCTTTCCTCTTGCCACAAATCTGAGCTTAGTTTGTTGCATGCTGTTAGACAGTAACTACGATTGATTCCTGCAATTGCTCCATATCAGAGGTGGGTAAGTGAATGTTTACCAAATCCTGGTACTTTGGAGTTTGCACAATATTATTAGATAGATCAGCATAATAAAGCATGTAGGGATCCTTTGATCTAAAGGCTGCGCATGTATTTCACATCTGAAATGTCCACGGTACCAGAATATTTCCTTATGTGCACAATTCCAGATTACCATGCACATGTTCTTCCTGGCTTTCCCTTCAGTTCTGCTAAGTCAGACATTTTAGAATTCAGTGTCACCTGGCTTTGCCCTACACATTGCCACAATCTATTAGTGAAGAAAAAAGCCTACTAACTTTTTGCTTAAATAAAAGATTAGAATTTAAGAAAAGCAGCATTTCTACCAACACCATGTGCAGTACAGATCTTCAAGGATTTTTAATGTACTTGCTTCAAGGTGATTGTACCTGTCCTCAGAGAGGAACTTCCATATAGACTTAGATGTTACACATCACCAGGTATATTACCTGTGAACCAGGTTTGACCTGCTCTTACTGGAAATAAGCAATTGTACTAACTGGATAGTTAGTTCCCAGAATAGAGATTTTATAACTAGGGAGAGTACTCAGACTGCAGCCTTTCAAATCTCTGAGTATATTATAACTTAACTACTTGGTAGCATTCAGGGGACAAAAAAAAATCTGCGTGCCACCTTAATGAGTTCTTACTAGCGATACAAATATTTGGGCTTCTAGACAAAAGACGATTATAGGTTAAATGATATTTGGATAGCATCATGTGGCTGATTAAAAATGGAATAAACTGCTAATGCAGTGAAGAATGCATCTGTTTACAGGCCTGAATCGACTTCTAAAACAAGAGGAGAAAAATTTCTGAAAAGTTTTCTCATTTTATGTACTACTGTGTACAAGTGACACATCTGGTTTCCATTAGGCATTTTTCCAAAGGAAAAGGAAAAGAAAAGAGACAACAAAGGTGAAATACATCTTACTTTAAACCCAGAGATGATTATTAAGGGGTTTTTTTTTGGAATTGCAGTTCTAGTCTGATAAACTGTTATGCAAAAATACTACTAACTCAACAGAACTGCTGCCATGGAAATGGTTCTCCAGCAACTCTTCTCACTTCAGTGAAATGCAGTAGGGTTTGTTGCTCCCCCATCCCTTCTGCCCTTGCCTGCATTTATTCTGCACCATGAAGGCAATATAATGGACTTCCCTCCTTGGGCATCATCACTATGGTGTTTGCCTTCCAAATTAGCCATACTGTCTGAGGCCCACCAAAACCTATGGGAAAAAGCATCGAGGAGGCAGGATTTGACTTGCAGAGCCTTTAAGAAGGTTTATGTGGAAGACCTGATTTTCTGAATACCCTCTAAATCCACTAAGGGTTTCAGAGGACTGTAGAACCGTCTTTTTTTTTTTTTTTTTAAAGATACTTTTCATTTTTATATAAACTTCAGCAACAGAGGCCAATGCGGCTGTGCTCCCAAAATGATATCCCAGAAATCAATCTGATATGATGTTACTTTCGGTGCAAGGTGACAGATTGAGAGCTCTGGCAAAGAGGAAATCTGCTTGCCCGTGAGGCCAGACACAGTGCAGTGCGAAGGGGCTCCTCCTTCCTTCCTGCCCCACAGGATGCAGCACTGGCTAACACAGGAAAGGGAGACGGTGTGGAGCACCTGGGAGCGTTGTTCAGTCTCTGCTCCGCCATTTCTTTCACAACCCAAGTCATGTCTTCAACCTCAGCCTGCGCAGACACAAACAAGCTAGTTTTAAACTGGCCAACAAAGCTACAGAAAAAGGCATAGCTACCCGAGGGACTTATTGTCAGTGCCAGAGTAAGCACCGGGCTGAGGGAATTGTACTACCGAGTACCCTGCTGCCTCATCTAGAAGTGGCCTAGGTCCATCTCTGTGAGCCAGCATTTTCTCCTTGAGAATAGCCCCACCTTTGTGATACGGAGCAAATGTCCCCTTTATCTTTCTCTGTCTTTCAGTTTCTTATTCATAAATCAAGTGCCTTGTCTACTAACACCACTGTGAAGAAAAATGCTTGAAACAGGTAATGTACCTTGGATGGGGGAAAACCTGGCACCTAGCTGACCTGAAATGTGAGCGAGTTCTGTCCTTTTGTCCTTTACTCTTACTGCCTTTCGAGTGGTCATTTTATGATACACTCTCCCACTTTTTTTCCCACAAAAGAGAAAGACAGAGTGACGTTTCCCACCCATCCACTCTCCAAACTGACAACAGTTCACCTCTGTAGTGACTTTTTTTCCCTTGTAAGCAGACAAGTAATTTACAAACAACAGAGTATGTATTCTGGACAAGTGATGGACAAATGCCATAGTGGTTAGGGGAAGCATCTGAAACTCTAGATACCATTCTGAGCTTCAGAGGGCATCCATCTCTCTTCATAGTAAAAATAGGCCAGAAATACAGTAAGAATAGACCTCTCTCGTGGGGTTTTGGTACATCAGCTCCTGTTTGAGGCCAGAGTTGTCTGAACATTTGGAAGAGAAGGTTAAAAGAAATTTTGGTGCTCATAGGAGAGGAGATTAAAAAAAAGAGGAGAAGGAGAAGGAGAAAAGTGAAAAAAGGAAGAAAGGAAGAAAAGGAAAGGGAAAGGGAAAAGAAAAGGGAAAGGGAAAGGGAAAGGAAAAGGAAAAGAAGGAAAAGGAAAAGAGCTTGATGTTTTAAAGAAGGATTTGGTTTATTTTCTTTGGATTAATTTGTTCATGCCTAAGAGCTAATAAGTCTCAGCGATCAGGACAAGCACTTCCCAAGGC